ACCCCCACCCCCCGCCGCCGACACCGCCACCAAACTCGGTCCCGGGCGGGGCGGACTTGTGTCTATATTTGGCCGGAGCGCGGCCCGTGAGCCCACGGGGCTCAGACACCTCGTCTCCCAAGAACGCAGTGCCGGGGCGAGAGGCCCGAGGAGGGTGCGGGGAGACCAGGCCTCAGGCCTGGGACCTCAGAAGCCGTGTGAAGGGCACGAGGATGCCCAGGACTGGGGAGGGGCAGGAGTCAGTGGCTGGGGCTATGGGAGACTCTGCGGTCCCCTGGGAAGAGGTGAAGCGCAGGCCCTAACTGGAAAAAGGCACCTGACCCTCCTCAGCCCTGCACATCTGGCAGAAGAGCTTGGGGGGACCCCAAGGACCCCAACTCCAGGAGAGCTTCTTAGGAGAGGAGATCAGAGGTGAGCTGGGCTGAAGGATGGCAGGCAATAGCCAGAACACCTTAGAGGCAGTGGAAGAGTGGAAGGAGAGACCCACCTTGCCCTGTGTCCCCCCCTCCCCCCAGCAGCTTGAGAGGACACTGAAGAAAACAGTAGCAGGACTCAATTTCCTGAGGAGAGGAACTGCTTTGCAAAATTTTTGAGGGGCAACCTTATGGCCCCACAGCTAGTCTTGAGCCAAGATCCAAGGACCAAGGCCTCTGATTTTGGAAAAGGTGCCTCTGGGAGGTAAACCACTTCAGTGAAGAGATGCTCATCCAGGGCTGCAGTCGGGGGGTGCACCCTAATTACACCCTAGCACTGAGGCTTCTCCCAACACCACTTAAACTTTCTGGAAGTTTTCAGGCCCAGTCAGACTCCACTCTTGCCTCTCCTGGGTCTCTAAGCCCCAAACCCTAGCCCCTCACCTTAAGCAGCACATTATAGGTGGCAAAGAACTTCCCCAAACTTGAATCGCCTTGAAGCAGCTTCCTATTGCTAAATTCAGATGCTATGTGAATTTATACCTGACTCCCAGCTAGATAACCCATCTCACTTGCCATCCCCTCCACTCTTCCCTTCCACAGCTCACAGGATTAAAGACCAAAGAAAGGCATTTCTGGGCACTGAGATCTTCCATTTCTGCCCCCAGCCATGAGCCGGCGAGTGGTTCGGCAGAGCAAGTTCCGCCATGTGTTTGGACAGGCGGCAAAGGCTGACCAGGCCTACGAGGACATCCGTGTGTCCAAGGTCACATGGGACAGCTCCTTCTGTGCCGTCAACCCCAAATTTCTGGCCATTATTGTGGAGGCTGGAGGTGGGGGTGCCTTCATCGTCCTGTCTTTGGCCAAGGTGAGGGACAAGGGTGGGAGGACACTGGCTGTGGCCCCTGGGTACCCCTGACAGCAGCCGCCTGTGTTCTCACCTAGTTCCTTTCCTCAGTCAGGAGGGGAATTTGTATGAATTAGTTGCTTCCTGTTTCCCAAGCCCTCAGGAGCTGCTCGAGAGACTCTCTCACCCCTCTCTGAGCAGCAGTATCACAGGTGGCCTGTACCCACTCACATAGCACCCTGTTCCCAGCAGGAACCAGGAGAGGGTGATGGATACAGTTGTGAAGGAGCGCCTATCTCTCCTAAAGCCACACCCCCTCATACTTTGGGCATGGGAATCTTCCTCCCCAGCCAAGTGCCACCATTTCATTAATTCACACCCCAGAGGAGCACACTGAGCCGAGGATCAGGCTGTCTCCACCTCCCCACTCTGGATCTTACAGAGAGGTAGAATGAGCAATGGTCAGAGGGACATGACACACAAGGCCAGAACCCTCCCTACCGTGGGGGTAAGGCCAGGCAATAATCACCACTTTAACTGAGTAGCTTCAAGCCCCTGACCATCTCCACCCCCAGAGGATGGCCACCTCAAGGTGCGACCTTGACCTGGATCTGACCCCTATACCATCTTAGGGAGGCCTCACAGATGGCAGGGTCAGGAAGAGGCCTGACAATAGACAATGACTCACACCAAGACAATGCAGACACCATCCAAGGACACCATCCCCAGCTCGAATTTCAGCTGGAGCTTCTCCTCCAGTATGACTGGGATTCTAGTAGCACAAGGCTACTCCCTTTTCCCTACTGCCTCATTTGGGCAAGTGCCAGCCCCTGCAAGGCCTCAGCGTCCCCACAAACAGCCCATAAAGACCAAAAATAGAAGAACCCCTGCTCAGGTTAGGGGATAGCAGGCACCAGGGGTACCAGCTGCTGGTGGTTCCAAGATAAAGCCAGTGACAAAGGAGAGGCCTGTCCAGGCTGGCTAGGATATGGGCTGGAAGGCACTTTCCCCTCATATTATCCCACCTTGGCCTCTTCCACCAAGGACTTCCCATAGATATTCTATTCAAGAGAACAGGTCTGAGGATAGTCTTCACAAATAGGTGTGTTTTTTGTTTGTTTGTTTGTTTGTTTTTTGGTAGAGCACTGGACTCAACTTGGCTTTCCCAGTACTTTGCTGTGTGTCCTTGATTAAGTTATCTTCCCTCTCTGGGTCTGAGTTACTTCAGCTCTCTCTGCCTTCAGTGAAGTACAGGAAGTTGAATGGGGTTGGAGGTGCAGGGAGGGGTCTGCAAACAGAAAGTAGGAGCTAGAGAATTAAGATGTAAACAGATCCACTACCAGTCCAAATTCCCATGGGAGGCTTGTCCCATGACTGCCTCTCTGACTCCTCCAGACAGGGCGAGTGGATAAGAACCACCCACTGGTCACTGGGCACACTGCTCCTGTGCTGGACATTGACTGGTGCCCACACAATGACAACGTCATCGCCAGTGCTTCAGACGACACCACCATCATGGTAGGAGCCAGGTGGCTGCTACTGGGCAAATTGGGCAAGAGTAGCAGGGAGGGCTGTCTTACCTGTGCTAGGGAAGGTGGGGAGGGAGGTGCTTGACCCCAGAGCCCTGCTCTCCCCAGCTCCCAGGCTATATTTAGCTACTGCCCACCCCCCTCCCAAGATGCACTGCTTAGGACTAATTATAGCCATGGCCAACTTGGGGCCTGAAGAGCAGGGGGCAGTACACCGAAGTCTCCCTGCTGGGTGAAGTGGGTGGGGGGCTCTGGAAGGCTGGCAGTGTCCCCTCCTGGTTCCCAGCTGTTTCTGCTCCTGAAGTCACCAGCACTTCTAGCGCTGCATTTAACCCTGACCATTCCAGAGAATCACTGAGGGAAGGAGCATGTAGAGGGGAGACAGTAAGGGAGGAAGGACAAAACAAGTCCCTCATCTCACCCACCCTATGACTTTTCCTCCTACCCAGGTATGGCAGATTCCAGACTATACCCCTGTGCGCAACATTACGGAACCCATCATCACACTCGAAGGGCACTCCAAGCGTGTGGGCATCCTCTCCTGGCACCCCACTGCCCGGAATGTCCTGCTCAGTGCAGGTCTGGGTGCTTGGGGAGGGGTCCCTACTGTAGATCTGGGTGGAGGGTGGCTATGGCAGGCCAAATGACAGTGCCCGGCTACTCTGGGCAGGTGGTGACAATGTGATCATTATCTGGAACGTGGGCACTGGGGAGGTGCTCCTGAGTCTGGACGACATGCACCCCGACGTCATCCACAGCGTGTGCTGGAACAGCAATGGTAGCCTGCTAGCCACCACCTGCAAGGACAAGACCCTGCGCATCATTGACCCCCGCAAAGGCCAGGTGGTGGCGGTGAGTGACCGGTCTGGCCTTACCTGTGGGACCTGAAGTTTCCCATCCCAGCCAGGGCCTGGCTCTCACCTCCTCCACCCCAGCCCCAGAAAAATTCTCCCCACCCCCAGCACATCTGCAACCACTCCATAAGGAAGCCCCCAGCAAGCAATTGCCCCTGTCCTGTTCCCTCCCCCCAGCACCTTAGAAACTCCCCAAAGTTGTTGTAAACTCTGTCCTAACATAACCTGCATGAAACCAGGGCGCCTGGACCCCTCTCCTCTACCGGCAGCGCCACCGCCAGGGTCTGGGGCCTGACTGGAGCTCTGGAGCCGGGGTGGGGGAGGAGGGGCCCTTCCTAGCTAACCCTCTGGGCGGAAGATAACAGGCAACCCAAGTGCACGGCTGATCCCAGCTGGGTGCCCCAGAGAGAGGGGCAGCGTTCATCTCACCAGCCTCAATCTGACGCGGGTGCCCCTGGGTGCTTGCATGTCTGCACCAGTGCGCATGTCTAGCACAGCCGGCGGGCCAGCGGCGCTCTAACCCACTAACCCCGCTAGCAGGAACGTGCCCGGCCTCACGAGGGCGCCCGCCCGCTGAGGGCCGTCTTCACCGCTGACGGGAAGCTATTCAGCACCGGCTTCAGCAGGACGAGTGAGCGGCAACTCGCGCTCTGGGACCCGGTAGGCCAGGCTGTGCCCCGGGCGCGGCTCGCTCGCTCCTTCTCTGGGTCAGCGCCTTTCAAGGCTGTAGCCGGTACCCAAGAGGACTGAAGAGGAGCGGAGAGTCTGGGGAAAGCCTTGCTGCGACCCTGGGGAACCAGTAAACATCCTTTGCTCAGGGGATCAGCCTCTGAGTGAGCTAAAGGCTCTGGATCTGCTGAGAGACATGTATCTGCCACTATCCCAGCTCAGACACGCTCCAGGTCGGGGGGCCAGCCAGGTTGCCCCAGGAAGCTGAACTTAAAAGCTCTCTCTTGTCTAGCCTCCCCACTCCAAGGCCCATATATCCAAGTCAGCAAGCTTGTTGTTCAGTCTTGCAGGCTCCCCAGAACAGGCAGCTGGGTAATACCTCTCCCTGTCTCCCCTTCCTCCCCTCCCCCAGGAGAGGTTTGCAGCCCATGAGGGGATGAGGCCCATGCGGGCTGTCTTCACGCGCCAGGGTCATATCTTCACCACGGGATTCACCCGCATGAGCCAGCGAGAGCTGGGCCTGTGGGACCCGGTAACACGGCTGGAGGCTTGGGGTGTGTGCCCCGGGGACTGGCATCACAGGACAGGGGCAAGGAACCCCCCCACCTGCAGAGGATACCCACCTGGACAGGGCTGGTAGCAGCTGCCCCCTTTGCAGTTGCTACCATCCCACACCAACCCCTGTGCCCAGTTCTGCAGCATCACCTGGAGCCCATGCTGGTGCCCAAACCTGGTGATGCCGTGTCCCTGGGGGTGGTTTGCAGTGACTGCATGCAGGGCAGGGGTGCAGGGTTGTAGGTGCCAGGGACTATGAGTGATGTGTTCAGAGGCAGGGCCTGCAGCTCAGTTCACCTGAACTGGCTTGAGCACACTTGGGGTTTGGGATGGGTAAAAGGGCCTCTGTGGATCCAGAAATGTCATGGAGGACAGAACAGGGCTGGTCACGTCTCTTGTGCTCCAACAGAACAATTTTGAGGAGCCAGTGGCACTCCAGGAGATGGACACAAGCAACGGGGTTTTATTGCCCTTCTACGACCCTGACTCCAGTATCGTCTACCTATGCGGCAAGGTGCTGGCGGGTGGAAGCAGAGAACAAGGTGTTGGGCAGAAATGGAAAGAACTTCTGTTGCATCTCTGAACCCACTGGTTTTTGCAGGGCGACAGCAGCATTCGGTACTTTGAGATAACCGAGGAACCACCTTTCGTGCACTACCTGAACACATTCAGCAGCAAGGAGCCACAGAGGGGCATGGGTTTCATGCCTAAGCGGGGGCTGGATGTCAGCAAGTGTGAGATTGCTCGGTCAGCAGCTTTGCCCTTCCCATCTACCTGCCTCTGTCCCTGCCTCCCATTGTGAAGACACAGTGATTCCTTAGCAGTGTAATCTTTGAAAAAGAGTGAGTTGGAGGAGGGGTCAAACAGGCTTGTTTGCAATGCCAACCAGGCACTAGGTAACTGACATCCTTAGAATCTCATTTTCCTCATCTGTAAGTGATGATAAACACCCCAGTAGAGCTGGACCAATAATTGTTTAAAGTGTATGGTGGGTGCTCAGTGAGTGTAGGTTTCTCACCCCTTCATCCCAGACAGAAGTTAAGGGTATAGGAGGTTTCAGGGCACTAAATCTGGCTTCCTTATAGGTTCTACAAATTGCATGAAAGAAAGTGTGAACCCATCATCATGACTGTACCCCGAAAGGTGAGGCGCCTGGAGGGGATTTGGGCAGGGCTCCAAGGCAGGAAGGAGCAGAACAGAAGCTGCATCCTTCTAACACTCGCCCACCTGCCCTGACCACCCCCCCCAGTCAGACCTGTTCCAGGACGACCTGTATCCAGATACACCGGGTCCCGAACCCGCTCTAGAAGCGGATGAATGGCTGTCGGGCCAGGACGCCGAACCGGTGCTCATCTCGCTGAGGGAAGGTTACGTGCCGCCCAAGCACCGCGAGCTCCGTGTCACCAAGCGCAACATCCTGGATGTGCGCCCATCTCCAGGCCCCCGCCGCAGCCAGTCCTCCAGCGATGCCCCTTTGTCGGTAAGATCCAGCCGGGCTGCACCCAGGTCCAGTCTACACATCCTTCTTTGCACCCCTGGCCCAACACACCTCTTCTGTTCTTTCCACCCCTGCAGCAGCACACCCTGGAGACGCTGTTAGAGGAGATCAGGGGCCTCCGGGAGCAGGTGCAGGCCCAGGAGCAGCGCATCACAGCTTTGGAGAACATGCTCTGCGAGCTGGTGGACGGCACCGACTAGCTTTGCTTGGGGGAGTCCCGGAGGACTAAGCAGGGAGGGCGGGGCGCCAGGGCTCTCCGCCCAGGCTTTTGGTCCTGACCAGCGCCAACCAGCCTCTTGGTAGGGGCCGGCCGGGGCGGGACTAGGAAGGGAACTCCGCCCTTCACGGGAGTAGTAGACAAATGGAGCATCGCTGAGATCCTCAGTCTGGTGCCCACCAGTCTAGGGGCCTGGTCGGATTCTCAGCAGGAGCTGGCCTTGGGCAGCCTGGGGTGAGGGGACCCCAGCACCGGTGCTGCAGGGCAAGGCGGTGTCCTAGCACCGATAATCAGGGGAGGTACTGATTATGGAGATGCCTGGGGGTATTGGGGAGACTGAGGCAGTTAAATGGAGGCAATTAGACTCGCAGAAGCAGCTGGGGAAACTTACAGCAATTCTTCATTAGCTCACTTGATCCCACCACCCTAAATGGTAAACCAGAAGGGCATCACCCCAGTTCTACAGTCATATAGAACTCACTGGCTTCAATCAGGGGCTGACCGACTGACCAGACCTAGCAGCCCACCTATGGGGAGAGCGCTCTTCCTTCTTTCAACCTGCAGGGGACAAGGCTGCCTCCACACAGCACCCCAGCATGAGAGCTAACCAGAGAGCTGGCAGGAGGAAGGTCCACACACACCCCTACCTTACCCCTCACCCCCATACTGCCCTGGGTCTTCTGCTGTGGCCTTGTTTCTGGGGGGGTGGGGGCACAAAATGAATTGAATGAAATATTTTATTAAGTTATCTGTCTGTACTTCCTGCCTAAGTGGGAGGGGAGGTGGTGAGAGCACGCCCCCCCACACACACACCAGACTCTGAAAATGTACCCCTGGCATCCAGGGCCTTAACAAATGCAACCATGGGCCCAGGATCCACCAGGCGTCCTCCTACCTCAGAGCCTTCTCCCACACTGAGGTTCAGAAGGAACCCCGACCCACGGGTGAGCAGTCTTCCCCAGTAAAGCAGGTAGGAAAAGCGTCGGGTTTGAAGCCTCTTTTATTTGTGCCTCAGAATCAGTCTGGTGCCCCTGGCATCAGGGAAGTGGGGAGAGGAAGAGTTTCTTTGTTCTTTTCTTCCATTCCTTTTGTGTCCTGTCTGAGTCTCACTGGCTGAACCAGGAAGGCCAGTCTGAGAGAACCCGGACAAGGGTGTGCAGTGGGTCTCTGCCCCTGGTGGGGTCTGTGCTTCTCTGGGTGGGCAGGGCAGGGCAGGGAAGAGCCGGGGGTTAGCACCATTGGATGAAGGGTTTTACAGTCAACCCCTGCGTAGGGGTGAGTGGGACACACAACCACAGAGGGCTAGCAGCAGCTGGTGGGGAGGAGTGGGTGGTGGTGCCAGGGCCCTGGGAGACCCCTCTGTGCCCAGTATATATACAGGGTCTAGTGCTTGCCCCCAACCCAGTAAGCCCCCCTCATTTGCTAAGACACCATGAGGTGGCCAGGTCGTGTCCAAGCTGGGGATGTTGTGGGGGGGAGGGCTAGACACCCTCCCTGATTACAAAATCATGCCTTGGGGATAGGGACTTCAACCTCTGGCCACCCAAGAAGCTGGGACCACCCTGAGACCCGGGAGGGTTAGGGGCTGTGGGGGCCCGGCACCCCGCTAAGTGCACTTGACGCTGAAATGCCGGGGTGGGGGCCCTTGATGTGCTTGCTGGTTTGTGTTCGGGACAAAGCAGCAACAGAGCACGCGGGGAGCTTAGCTGTCCCCGCCCCAGGAGTGAGGAAGGGAGATGCAAAGGCTTCACTGGCAGTGTCCTGGAGTGGGACCAGTGAGCAGAAAGAAGAACCGGCCAAAGGAGCAAGGATGGGACTCTGCTCCTCTAGGGACCCACCTGCCCCTCAGGACTGCCTGGCTCCACCCTTCAACACGTCTAAGCCCAAGGTGAGGGGTGAGGGTCAGGATACAGCAAAGCAGGGGGATCCAGCGAGCCAGCTCCCTGCAGGGCGCTGCCCGGAAAGGTGTCCTGCAGCCCTGCCAAACTCCTCCCCAGCTGGCAGGCTGCTCCACTATGCCCCTGAGGCTGCGGCTCCAGTTTCCAGCTGAAGCTCGGTGGGCGCGTCCACTGGGCTGATCTCGCTTCAGGGCGGGTCTGGCGTGGCACTGCCAAGGGGCTCGGCAGTGGGCGCTACTGCTCGGTCAGGGACAGCCGCAGGATGCGCTCCAGCTCCTCCTCCTCCTGGCGCGCTCGCTGCCGCCGCTCCTCCTGCTCCTGCGCGGACAGCTCCATGGCCAGCCGCAGCTGCTCGTCATAGCTCTGGAACACGCGACCACCTGGACCTGGGCCCGGGCTGGGCCTGGGGCTAGAGACCGACGTCAGGGACGCGGGGGATGCCGGCCGGCGCTGCGGCGTGGGCGGAGCGCTCCTGGGGGTGGGTAAGACACGTGGAGGGCTCCCAGGTGCAGGGAGACAGCGCAGAGACCCCACGGCGAGCGGGCCTGGCCACCCTCCAGTGGCGACTGAGTCCTGAGGCCTGCCTCGCAGTGACTGGCAGATCCCAGCCCTGCGGAGTCCTTTTTCCCGGCCTCCAGCTTGGTGGCCGCCCAGAACTTTTGCATCTTCTAGGACCCCCGCCCCAGCATCCTACCTGGTGAGGGCTTGAAGGCTGTGAGGTCTGAGCCCTGCTCCCTGACCACAGCTGGAGTACTGCCTGCCCACCCAGGCACTGCCCACTCCACTGCCAGGAAAGGGTGATGGTAGAAGTCACCTTGATGGTGTGGGGTCCCTGGTGAGGGTACCAGTTTCTCTGGGTCATTAGGGGCTGCTTAGCCTGCAGTGTCCTCACCCAGGGTGACAGGGTACTGGGGTACTCTGTGCATGTGTACTGGGGGGAGGCATCTCCAAACCCTCTCAGGACGGGTCGGCACTGACCTGTCCTGTCGGTGACTCTCGTAGGACATGGGGTGAGTGCCTGGCTTGCTGTTAGTTAAGGCCTCCCAGATGGTGACCTAGTGAGAGGAAAAGTGGGCCAGTGAGCTATGGCAGTACTGCCACAGTCCTATGGCCTGGCACAGCTGCTGGGACGCACCTGATCATACTCACTGCCCGCCTCAAGGAGGCTCTGCTGGATGGCAAACTGCAGCAGGTCGTCATCGTCATCGCGGCTGGCCGCCTCCCTCTGGCCGCCCAGCACGCTGTAGCCACGTGGGGCCTCGAACAAGGCAGGGGAGATCTCGCAACCGCGGCAGGAGGCTGAGGTATGGGCTGGGCGTCAGTGTAGGCCAGACCCAGCCCTCCCCTGCCACTGGGAAGAGGCTCTGCTGGGGAGGGAAAGTGAGGGACAGGTGCTCACTCGTGGAACTGGAGCTGCTGACACTGGAGGAGTCGCTGCCCGGGGAAGGGGTCTCACTGCTTGGGCTGCCTCGCACGGACGGCACTGGTTCGTCACAGCCATTGAGGTTCCCAAAGGTGATGCGCGCGTTGAGGATGTGGAAGATCGGGATTTCTGAGGATGACAAAACCAGCAGGTGCCACCACTCACCTCGTGTCTCTCCCCCCACCCATTTGACCTCATTTAAACCCCAATCCCAAACAGAGACTGAGGGGAACAGGGCTGGAGTCTCACCAATCTTGACCGGGAAGCCAGGAGGCAGGCGGAGGGTAATGAAATCCCGGAGCTTGGCGAAAAGCGCATTGCTGACAGCCATGAGGTCAATGATAGGGGCCACCTGCTCACACAGGGACAGGGGATGCTCCTCACACAGCCACAGCTTGGCCTTGAACCTGCCCCCCAGATCCCAAAGGGTGAGGTACATTGTGGACACCATGACCTCCCAGCATCTTCTGGACGCCCTTCCCGGCCCGGCCCGGCCCTGCCCACCCCTTCCCAGCACCAGCAGGGGCCTCACTTCTGCGTCTTGGTGGTAAGTTCCATGGGGCGGCCCATGTCACGGTTGCCAAGCTCAAAGTTGGGGTTGAAGTACTCTTCCGCGGTGATAGCGGTGGGGTTGGCCTGGCTCAGAGTCTGAGTGATCAGGGTCTGTACCACATGGGAAAGACCCATGAGCCCTTCTCAGTCCCTGATGCCAGGCCAGACACTTGGTGTCATGGGTCCCTGAGCTCTCCTCTCCCCCCACCCCTGGCCGCCACAGTGCAGCTGGCATGGGCTTGGGCACTGTGCGAAGGAGGTCTGTGTCAGCCATTCCAAGCAGGATGCCTCCCAGGCCTCCCCATGAGCCACATCCACACCTCTCCACACAGGGGTACCCCTAGCATACACTCACCCCATTTTGGGGGCCCCCATGCTGCTCAGCAATTCCCAGGAAGGACTGAAGAGGTGTCTTACATCCTACAAGAAATACAGTACCTCAGACGACACTGCAACCCTCAGGAGTGCCACAGCCAAGACCTAGAGAGGAAGCCAGTACCTGCGGACAGGTATCGCTCACCTGCACCATGTACTCAGCACCTTCCTCTGAAAGTGGGTAGGGGCCGGGACCACTAGATGTGGTCCTGGAATAAAAACAGGCCGTGGAATTGGGAGAAAGTTCCAAAATTATCATTCTCCAGATTGATGACATGGGACAAAAAAAATATTTGGTGTGCTGTGTAGGGCGTGCATATGGGTGTAGATGTTTTCCTTGGGGTATTTCCATATTAATGACTTCAATTTGCTCCCCATGAGGTCGGGATTCTACTTTTTTACTTCTGATGAATATCCATAGTCAGGTTGTATATCACAATCTGACACAGACAACTGGGGGATGGGGAGGAAGGCGGGACCCCCTGACTTCCTGCCTAGGCTCCAATCTAGAAGGGCCAATTAACAGCATACTTAACATTTCTCTTCCCTCCCAAATCCAAATTAAATATTAGTAATGAATTGTAGCATTCCTTCCCGTTGAGCCGAAATGTTGCCTTAGACTCTTGTAGTAGCTCTCCAGGCAGTCACTACCAGTCATTAGGACTTGGTATTCAAACTGAAACCTATTTGCCTCAATAAACTCTCCTGGCTTTTGCTAGGATGCCAGAGGGGACACAGATGGAGGCACTCAGGGGGAGCTGGTTTCTTGAGTCTGGCCATACATGCTCCATCTGCCTCTGCTTCATTACCTTTGACCTTGCCCTTGTGCTGTTCTGAAAGGTGCTCTGTCCGTGTCCTGGTGATGAGCTCCACATTGGATGCCCCATATACCTGAAGACAGATGGGGGAAAGACTGAAAGATAGTTCTAGTGGCCCTGCCCCCTGCCTAGAGGCATCCTTCACACTCCCTGCAACCAAGGAGGTAGAGGTGAGGGGTAGAGGTTAGGCAGAGATGTTTGCCCTTATCCAGGCCTTAGGGCAAGTAAATGCACTAAGTCATTCAGTCATTCACTTATTCATTCAACAAAGCTCCCGTGGAGAGCCTTTATATGCCAGACACTAGGGCATCAGTATAGAAGTAATGAATAAGCACAGCCAGACAGGAGGTGCACAATCTAGTTGAAGAGATAAGAAAAGAGACAGTCATGACATAATATGATATATTCTGGTGGGAGGAGCCCTGGACATAGGAACAAAAAGCAGAGGCCTTGCCCAGCTGTAGAACCAAGGTAGGCTCCCAGGAGGAAGCAACAATACAGAACCTTAGAGAATTTGTTAGTCCCTTCTCGATCGGTGCACCATGTGGCCCCAGTGAGCGACGTGGGGATCCCAGCATAGTCAACACATTCTTACTAGGGGTAAAGATGTGGGTGAGGGGTCAGGCAGCTGGGTTCTGAACCTCAGTTCAGCCACTTAATGACTGTGACCTTGTCAGGTCATTTAACCACCCTAAACCTCCATTTCTTCATAAAATGGGTTGATAATACCTACCTAGAGATGCTGTAAAGATTAAATGGGATAATGTGGCAAGGCCTCAATAGACATCTGTATAAGGAATAACAACACCTCCCTGAGAGCACTGTGAGGAGTGAATGAATGTGTGTGGTGTGCAAGTACACATATAGCCCGCAGCCACGTGTCCACACACACAGTGTTGGCGCTGTGCCCTGGCCGCGAATACGGCCAGCTCTAAAAGCTCTGGCCATTTTCCTCAGTTGCCCCTTAGTCTACTGCCCTTCTAATGCCCATGCTGCACTGCCTATGCACTTCCCAGGCTGAGAAAGGGTGTCGAGAAGCCACTGGCTGGCCACTGCAGGCAAATGTGAGCCTGGGATCCCCTCCCCCACCAAGAGCTGTAGCCTCACCTTGGCTTCATACCCATTCACCATCTCTGTCTTCTCACTGCGCCAGCCCAGGATGCCAGTCTTGTTCCTGGGGAAGCAGAGCGGTCCAGGTGAGGGGGCACCCTACCAGGCTGCCTCTAGGCTACCGAGGCCATACCCACTCACCTCTCGAAGGAGATATTCCTGGTGTCCAGCTGCGTGGTGACCACGGGCGCAGTGAGCCGGCTCAGGACCTGCTCCTCAGTGGGCTGGGCAGCAGCCAGCAGCAGCTCCCGGTCCTGCCCGGCCAGGGCCAGAGTCTCCGTGTATACCACCCGGCGGTCGTGGTCAATCTCCATGACTACAGCACTCGTGTCTGCTGGCCACAGAACAGCACCAAGGTCACGGGAGACACAGGGCTGCCTCCCAGTCTCCCACCCCGCCCCACCTCCTGCCTGCCTGACCTTGGCCCCTGAAGACAAAGCTGCGGTTCCCTCGCTGCCATGTCATGTGGTCAAAGCCCAGGAGCGTGGTGTCTACCCGCAGGTTCTGCCCACTCTTCCACACTTTGTAGGTGTCACTAGGGCAGATCTTGGACACCAGGGGCACTGGGTAGAAGGGAAGGTCAGAGGTGGCTTCTGTTGCCTGGCGTGCACAACCTCCACCAGCTCCGGATGTGGGGGTCAGTGATACGGCCAGGGAGGAGTAAGGCAGCTGATGGGAGAACAGCCCCGCCGCCCGCAACTTGCCACACGCACATATAGACTACAGACTCAGCTGTGAGAGACGTGAGGTCAACGACAAGTGTGCCGAGAGACGTGAGGTCAACGACAAGTGTGCCGAGAGACGTGAGGTCAACGACAAGTGTGCCTGGCCACCACCAAGTCCCTAGTGTCTTTATCTGTCAATTCATCCACTCACTCTTTCATCCAACCTTCCAACAAATATTTATTGACATCTGCTGTGTGCCAAGCACTACTCCAATTACTGGGAAGTCAATCTTGAAGAAGACAGGGCCCCTGTCCTCTTGGAGCTTACCTTTCTTACAAGGAGTGGCAGTGAACAAAAAAATCATTACAGAGTGAAGGAAGTCACAATGGAATCGAGACCATGTCTAAGGCAGTGCGGAAACGCTTAGCTGAGGGGGTGGCATTGAGCTGAGGTCTGATGGGTGAGGAGGCGCTACGGAGAGCTATGGGAAGAGTGCTCCAGGCAGGGAAGCAGTAAGTGCAGAAACCCTGAGGTGGGAAAGTGCCCGAGGTCCCATTCGGTCCTTCTTACCCCAGCTAGTGAACTCCCACTTCATCTCCACGTAGAAGTCCTGGGCCTGGTGGATGAGAAGGAGAGAGGCTAAGCCTGCACTAGAAATAGGAATCAGGGCTAAGGTGAGAAGGCTGAGGCTGGCCCTCACCTGGCGCAGCTTCTCCAGGAGGACGGGGATGCCTGCCAGCCGCTTCACCACCCGCTGGTAGTCCCGGTACCGCAGCACCAGCTGCACCAGCTCCAGGTCGCGGGTACTCACAGCCTCCTGAAGCACTGGGGGAGGGGGAAACGCTGTCACCCTGCCAAGGGTTCGCTTTAGTCACCAAAGGTGAGGACATCATATATATATA